TCTTATTGAGCGAATGACCCTCGATCAGTCGATCAGAGATTACTATACATTGAAAAATAGTTCGTCGTACCTTGTAAGTCACCAGGAGTACTCAGCCGGCTGTTTAATTAAGAGTATTGTATCGTCGTTGCTATGTCTAATTGTTTGATATTAACCATTCAATGTTTGATATGTAACAGCCTGACAATGCAGGAAGCGCTCAGAAGTCGCAGCAGTCACAAATGACAGACACACAGCGACGCCCTTCAGCCACAACACACAGCACAGACGATAGCGATGTCGTAGATACAGCGTTACACGCAGTTGACAACGGAGGTATGCGTGGTTTGGGGTTTATTATACGTGACGTTGCAAATGGCGCCGATGTCGTAAATGCTGCGTTAAAGGCATTTGACAACGGTGGTATTTCTTGGTTTGGGGTTTATTGTACGTGCCGTTTCAAATGCCGCTTATGTCGCAAATACAACGTTAAGACACTTGACAACGGTTCTATGTTTGGTTTGGGGTTTATTCCACTTGACATTGCGAAATGTCGCTGATGTCGTAAACACAACGTTAAAGACACTTGACAACGGAGGTATGTTTGGTTTGGCGTTCATTGTACGCGACGTTTCAAATGCCGCTAATGTCGTAGATACCAAGAAGACGAGGAACCACACACTCTTATCTGTGCTCTACATATTATTATCTGTCCTCTCACACTCTTATCTGCCCTTACACCTAACCCCAGTACCGGTTATTCTCGAAGAAGAACACGAGGACGGAGAGGAACTACACACGCCCATCTGTCGCTGTGGCCACCACACTGAGCCTAGAGATCCCGTGACGGCGCCTATCGTCGATGGCGTCGTCAACGGCACAGTGGCGGAGATCAGTCAACTGTACTTCAGCGACGAACCTCAGAACGACGTGTGGGATATGTTTATGAAGCAGGTGTGTGTGTGCGTGTCTCTCTCTCTCTGTGTGTGTGTGTATGTGTGTGTGTGTGTCTCTCTCTCTCTCTGTGTGTATGTATGTATGTGTGTGTGTGTGTCTCTCTCTCTTTCTCTCTTTGTGTGGGTGTGGCGTTAAAGTGTAGCCTGTACTTAGGTGTGCTGAGGGGAGAGGGATTGGGTGTATGTTGTAGGTAAAGATAGCGTGGTGGTCTGCGGTTTGGAAGTGTTCAGAGGTATGTGATAGAGGGGAGAGGGATTGGGTGTATGTTGTAGGTAGAGCTAGCGTGGTGGTGTGCGGTTCGGGAGTGTTTAGAGGTGTGTGATAGAGGGGAGAGGGATTGGGTGTTCATTTTAGGCAGAGGTAACGGTGCGAGGTGTACATTTACGTTTAGGCTATAAGTATATGGCCACACACACACACACATATATATATATACGATTTTAAGCACAAATGCGGATATTTAGGATTTATGTGGTCATAAAATATGCTTGTGTACGTATTTACCTCAGATAAACGCCTTTGTTTGCATATATTGCAACAGCAATACGAACAGAGGAGAGTCATGTGTTGATCTTGTATTTATGCGCTCCTCTAGCTCAGACAAAAGGCAATGCTACGCCTCTCTCTGCAAATATACGCTCGGCTGTATGCTGCAACTAAGTTTCTTTTTCTTCTGTGGTTATAACTAAGTTTCTTTTTCTTCTGTGGTTATAACTAAGTTTCTTTTTCTTCTGTGGTTAAAACTAAGTTTCGTTTTCTTCTGTGGTTGTCTAACCCAAACACCCAAATTTCCATATTCCAGTGTACTCATGTACTGTCTCTTCATGTCTCCTATACAATACAGGAGCCTTCCATGCAGCCCTACATTGACAGCTATAAAAATACACCCTGGAAGTTGTCCAAGAAGGAGTGCTGTTTGGAAAGGTTCTTCACTTTTCTGAGTCCGCCGGCGGCACTACCCTCGATTATGAGCAGCACACACGTGCCAATTACTCAAGGTGTGCAACCACGTGCTACTATATATATATATATATACATACATACATATATATAAACATATATACATCTACACACACACACACACACACACACACACACACACACACACACACACACACTACA